ATAAAACTGTAAAAAATGTGTGAAAATATGACAAATCATTATATGCAGGAATAATTAAGGTACAGAAATATGAAAAGTAATAAAGGCAGAGGGTATAAAGAAACAAAGAAACATGAAGAATATGAAAATATGTAATGACACTTAGAATGAAGTGAGGGAGGAAAATAGTGTGGGGCTGTGGCCACCACAAGCACATCTCAACCTCAAGCATGCAAATGAAATGCAGGAATAAAGAAAATAAAAGGTACACAAAATGACACGGCAAACATAAGGAGTTCCTTACGAAAAGGTTTTAATTTTTTAATATTTTAATTATGTAAAAAAATGTTTTAATTTTTTTAATATTTTAATTATATATATAAAAAGGTTTTAATTTTAAAATGGAATTACTTAGTTAAAAAAAATTTAAGTTTAAATTATAAAAAAAATGTTAAGTTTAAATTATATATAAAAAAAATGTTTTTGGGAACAAAAAGGTTTTTTTGGAAAAAAATGTTTACGGGAACAAAAAAAAGGCTTTTTTTTGGAAAAAAATGTTTACGGGAACAAAAAAAGGTTTTTTTGGAAAAAAATGTTTACGGGAACAAAAAAAAAAAGGCTTTTTTTTGGAAAAAAATGTTTACGGGAACAAAAAAAGGTTTTTTTTGGGAAAAAAATGTATTAGTTTTAATAAAAAAAGGTTTTTGATTTTGAAAAAAAGGTTTTGATAAAAAATAACAATAGAATTGCAAATGCAAACAGACAATTAATGGACATGCAAACAATCCTATACGACACAATCATGGTTCATATAGATCAAAATCTACGGATCTAAACAACAATGAAGGTTAACATGGCAAGGATGCAAATGAATATGAAAAATGCAAAGGACTTAGTAATTTAACGGACCTAAACACATTAACATGGCAAAATATGCACATAAACATGAAAAGGCAAAAGGTTTAGTAATTTAACCTACGAAGCGGAGGTTTGCTTCGGTGAATATTGGTTTGGTTTGAATAAGAGAACACTGGAGAGCTCAGAGGGCTGATCCTTTAAAGCCAATGAGGGTTGTGCGTTGTAAGAACAACAACCTTTTTCCTTCTCTGGTGTCTTCTTCTCTCTGTCTGAACCTTCCGCCCCCCTTTTCTGAAGAAAACCTTCTGACCCCCTTTTCTGAAGAAAACCTTCTGACCTCTCTTAGGTTTTTTTTTCATTCTCTCCTCCTTTCTAACAAGGCAACACATGTATATATAGGGAACAAATTAGGGTTAACACCAAATTGTCAATAATGTCCCTAAAGCCCATTTTAAAGCCCAAACTAAATAATTAGTTAAGAAAAAATAAAATTTAAATAATTTAAAATAATTAAAATAAACTTAAAATAAAAACTAATAATCCTATTGATTCCTAAAATAAAAAATATTATAAAAGGAACAAAATTTTTCAATATTTTTTTATTTTATGATTTTTTGGATATTTTTATGAATAATTTAGAAAAAAGTGAAAAAAATAATATTTTAAAAAATGATTTAATTAAAATACGAAAATAATAATTAAATAATAATAAAAAACTATTTTTGTTATTTTTTTAATGAAAGATAGAAAAATTTAGAGTAAAAATAATAAAGAACAAAAAAAGTGACAAAGGTGAGATTTAATTTTTAAAATAGTTAGAAAAAAAAGATTTAATTTTAAAAAGAAATTAGAGAAAAAAAAGATTTAATTTTATAAAAGTTAGAAAAAAGATTTAATTTTTTTAAAAAAGTTAGAAAAAAAGATTTAACTTTATAAAAGTTAGAAAAAAGATTTAATTTTAAAAAGAAGTTAGAAAAAAAGATTTAACTTTATAAAAAGATAGAAAAAGATTTAACTTTAAAGAGGAGTTAGAAAAAGATTTAAAAAAAATTAGAAAAAAGATTTAATTTTAAAAAGAAGTTAGATTTTTATTTTTAAAAAAAAAAATATTAGAATTTGATTAAAAAATGTGTTAGAAATTAATTTAAAAAAAGGTTATAAAAAATTTACTCTTGAAGAAAAGAAGAAAAAAAAAAAGTTAAATTTTGATCTAAATCCTAAAAGTTAGTAAGAAGAGCTTTAAATAAATAAACTAAATAGAAAAAAAAAAGTTAATAAAAAATATTAGTAAAGTTATAAAAAAAATTTAATTAAATTATTATTAGTTAAAAAAACAAGATCTAAAAAAAAGGTTAATTTATTAGGTTAATAAGAATTTAAAATAAAAATAAAAAAGAAAGGGTAAAATTTGGGGTATTACAGCCATGATTCACATCAAGGAGGTCTATGATTCAAATCAGACACATCCTTGATTCAAATCATCTTTACAACATCAATTTTTAAAATTCAATGTAATTCTTGATTCAAATCATCTTTACAACATCAATTTTTAAAATTCAATGTAATTCTTGATTCAAATAAGGCAAAGTTGTCATTTAAATCAAGTTTCAAAACCACCTTGTTTAAAGGCTTCTAACTTAGGATTCAAGGTACACATATTTTGACTTTGACCAATTTGTTAAAATTAAAAACATTGTAATGGATTCAACCTAATTGAGTGCAAGGGATAACTCAAAATACAATAATGCAATGAATGATCAAAATCAAATTACAATAAATCGATCAAATTACAAATAATATGAAGGCAAAGTGTGGCAGGTTCGTGGGCACTAGAACTTTAAAGTTTAAAATTGTAAAAATTTATGTTAATGTTCGCACCTGCAAAAGTTTACAAAAAAAATGAAACGAGATAGAGCTGACATATTAGACAGTGTTGATTTAAAACTTTGAGTCATCCCACAAAAAAAAAATTATAGACAAAACGGGTACGTCTGGCGAACCAGATCTGTTTGTCACCTATACTTTTTAAGATATCAAAATTTCAAAAAATTATTCAAATTTAAAATTATTCTAAATAATTTTTATAAATAATTTGATTTAAATATATATATATATATATATATATATATATATATATATATATATATATATATATATATATATATATATATATATATATATATATATATATATATATATATATATATATATTTATATATATCAGTTCCTTAGAGTATTTCTTTGGCCGTTGCACAATTTGGTCTGTCGAGTTCTTTTGGTGTTTTCTAATTGGATGAATGTCCTTTGTCTAAGAAAAGTTTATTTAGGTTGGATAATTCTAGATTATATCTAATACTAATTGTCTAATTTTTATTTCTTTGGATCTTGTACCATTTCATTGTCTAAGAAAAGTTGTATGCATGCCTTGGTTTATGTTCATGTACACAATAAAATATAAACCGACAAGATCAGAATAACAGATAACATCCTGAAACCAATAAGCTGTGGAATATCCCAACTCTAATATCTTCTTGTCGTGGTTCACCGATTTAAATAATTGAAAACATATGTATTGCAAAAGAAAATAAATATACCTCTCCATGTCGTACTGAAGCGGTTTGGGACACAAGACCGAGGCTAGTTCAGTCAGAGTTCTTTTCAACCATTGCACATGTGTTACAAACAAACATAGAGAAAAACAACATGTCACGACAAATCCACAAATTCCATAAAATCAACCAAATTTTAGCCTAAGTCAAATATGAAGATGCATCTCCAAAAATAGCAATGAAAAAAAATCCGAAGATGCATTTCTAGAAAAACCTGCGATTCTCATAGTCTGCCAATTTCACTTACACTACTATCTAATGCACTTAAAACAACTAATGTAGTTTAAACAATTAGGTACAAATCAAAATATAAAAAGAGATGGAATTTTGAAAAACTTTTCAAATCAAATTGATGAGAAGTAGAAGCTTGAATGTATGAGATGCTGGAAAGGAGGAGAAAGAGCTCCAATGGTAGAAGTTTGCTAGAGAGAGAAGCTTGAATGGATGAGAAACTTTTTTTTTAGAAAATCAAGGAGGAAGATGGAAGGTCTGATACAAGGATATGAAACAAAAGTGTCTAGAGATGCATCTTTGGACCATCCACTAATTTTTGAATAAATGGTATTTACGGAAATGCATTTTCGAACTCACATTTTACGCAAATGAAGATACATCTCCAAATTAATTTTTAGTATGCCTATTCAATATAATTTAAAAAACGACTTTAAAAAATGTGTATTCGAAGATTCATCTCTTAATATTAGAGACACTTGTGACTTTTTACGATAGTGACATAACACATATAAGAGTGAAAATAGTATTTTCGGAGTCTATTACACTGACATTTGAACTATAAGGCAAAATTTGCGACGAAATTAGGCAGTATACAAATTCAAAATATATAAGTTTAAGAGTTGAATTCCCAAACCCCAACCCCAACCATAAAATAAGTAGTATATAGTCTTTAAAATATATAAATTTCACCAAAATAAAAATATACAAAAAAATCTGTAAATTTAGAAATAATAAAAAACTAAACTTATAAATTTTATTTATTTAAAGAAATAGATTGACCAATCAGCTAGTTTAGGAATTGCATTACAAATTAAGCTTAAGTTTTTTTTTACATACTTTAAGAAATAAATTGACCAGTTTTATATATTTTAGATACTACTTGTATATATTTTAAGAATTAAATCAAATTAAACAAAAAAAAATCCTTGATGATTTTGTTAAAATAAATAGAAAAAGTGAGACTGACAAGATCATAACTGTAAACAAACACAGAACATTATTTAAAACAAATAATAATAAAAAGAAATTACAAAAAGAAAACATTATGAAAATGTTAGGACAAGAAAAAGAAAAGAAAAAACAAGAATTGAAGAAGCATTGAAAGGAAAAGAAAAAACAGAGAGAAAAAAGTGGAACATTGTTGAAGATATAACCACAAATAGACCAAAGTGTTTTAACCCCGAAACTAAAGCTTCCATTTTTCGATTACCTTACCCTATAATCACACCATTTCTCATCAAATAACAAAAAGGGCTTTCAAAAATCACTCACTCTGTTTTGTTTTTGTAAAGGTGAATTTTTTATAGATCAAACTGTGTCATGTCGTGTTCTTCTTCATCTGGGTCGGAAGATGATGAAGAGGGCTTCGATTCCTACCGGAAGGGAGGTTACCATGCTGTCAGGGTCGGCGATCAGTTCGCCGGTGGTCGGTATGTGGCTCAGAGGAAATTGGGTTGGGGTCAGTTTTCAACCGTTTGGCTTGCTTATGATACTACAACCTCTGTATGTTTTTTGATCCTAAACTTTTATCATTTTTGTTTTGGTTTTTGAATCTTCTCCTTTTATATTGGAATCTGGTTGGAATTGTAAAATTTTGTTAAATGCTGTGGAGGTTACAGTTACAAGTTTCTCTTATTGTAATATACTAGTGTTTTTAATATGCATTTGAAAGTTATATCATGTGTTTGTTTTTGTGTATTAAGAGTATTATTTTGAATGGATCCAATTGGTATGATTTGGATTTGATATATGTAACGTTGGAATGGAGAAATTGGGGAATGGTTGTCATAAATGTGAACATCTAGAATGTGGATTTGATTTTCTGCTTTTGGAAAATCCTAAATTTTATGCTCTTGTGATTCTCGTGTCGCTAGATCTATATTTTAATTCGTTGTTTTGTACCAAATTTACCGGCTTGAAATGTGAGTTGTCTGATCTTGATTGGACGGGATGAGATATACAGCGGTAGAATGTTTTGTAAATGCGGGGAACCTGGATCTCTGGAAGGTTTAGATTTGTCTGGTTGTAGAGAACTATAGGTGTAATAAATGTGTCTTTGCGTTTCGTTTTATCGGTTACACTTGGCGCCTTTTGTTTTTGCATCGGGAACTGCGTTTGGAAACACTAAGATTCTGAGTTCTATTTTGGCATAACTGAATGTTAAGACTTTGTGGTCCTGTTTGGAATTTTGTTTCCTTTTATTTCTTGTCAAATATCTTTCTAACTTTGTGTTTGTGATTTTCAGGCATATGTTGCTCTCAAGATTCAAAAAAGTGCGGCGCAGTTTGTTCAAGCTGCTCTTCACGAGATAAGCGTTCTTTCATCCATTGCTGATGGTGCTCCGTCAAATTCAAAATTTGTTGTTCAATTGATTGACCAGTTTAAGCACACGGGCCCAAATGGGCAGCATCAGTGCATGGTGCTTGAGTTTCTCGGAGACAGCTTGCTCCGTCTAGTCAAATACAACCGTTACAAAGGTCTTCCGCTGAATAAAGTTAGGGAGATTTGTCAATGCATTTTGATTGGTTTGGATTACTTGCATAGAGAACACGGTATTATCCATACAGACCTAAAACTGGAAAATGTTCTTCTGGTTTCTACCATTGATCCTGCCAAAGACCCTGTTAGATCAGGAGTCTCGCCGATTTTAGAGAGGCCAGAGGTAAATGTAAACGGCACGGTTACTAGTCTTATTGAGAAAAAGTTGAAAAGGAGAGCGAGGAGGGCGGTCGCTAAAATATCTGGACAAAGAGCTTCGATGGGAGGAGCGGGGGAATCTCCGCAATCTGAGAGAAGAAATATGCATGGGATTGATGTTAGATGCAAAGTGGTAGATTTTGGAAATGCTTGTTGGGCTGATAAGCCTTTTGCGGAAGAAATTCAGACAAGACAGTACAGAGCTCCCGAAGTTATTCTGCAAGCTGGCTATTCGTTCTCCGTCGACATGTGGTCTTTTGCCTGTATTGCTTTTGAACTCGCCACTGGTGATATGTTATTTACTCCCAAAGTCGGACAAGGTTTTAGCGAGGATGAGGTATGATCATTTGTTCATATGCTATTGTTGTTTAAATTAATTTGGAGCAAACAATCTTTTTGATCATTGAATGTGTTAAATGTTACTCGTATATTCCCCGAATTAACCAAAATTACAAAAACATTCTCGAATGTTCTTTAGTTAATCTCATGTTAGTTAAGGATATACATCCGTTGTGATTGCTTTGCATCGGTGAATCACAAGTCTCTAAGCCTCAGATATCATGTTAGAATAACCGATCTTTCCATTGTGCCGGTTTCAGGATCACCTTGCTCTGATGATGGAACTCCTTGGAAAGATGCCCCGAAAGGTCCGAATTCTGTATTGTTCTATGATATACTATTTACTACGAAGTGTTGTTAAATAGTGGCTATAATAGTTATAGCTTTCTAGCTTAACATAATTTCAAAAATCGCTATTTTTTTGTGATCCGTGATTAACAAAAGTGAAACTAACTTTGACAAATCTTATACTTGCGCATGATGCAGGTTGCTACTGGAGGAGCAAAATCTAAGGATTTCTTTGACAGACACGGTGATCTGAAAAGGATCCGAAGGCTAAAATTCTGGCCACTAAGCAAACTATTGATTGAAAGATACGCATTTTCAGAGAGTGACGCTAATGAATTATCGGAGTTTCTTTTACCTCTTCTTGATTTTGCACCTGAGAAGCGTCCAACTGCGCAGCAGTGCCTACAACACGCATGGCTCGCCGGAAAGGACTCGGTTCCAAGTGAAAAGAGAAATGAAACCAGTGTTGAAAAAGTGGATGTTGGAATAAGCAACCTTAAAATCAGGGTGGGGAAGTGAAGTGAAGTGAAGGGGAGATAGGTATTTGAGAATCACCCTTCTTCAATATTATTGATTTTTTTTATTGTGATTTTATTTTTTGGTTTGGTCAAGTTCAATAAGGTTTATTTTTTTATTGGATTAATTACTATGATATGTAAATTAGTAAAGAATTTTGTTCATCCATAGACATATGCCAGAATTTTGTGTGTATATTATTATTTTTCAATGATATGATTTTAATATACCCGTTTCAAACTTTTAAGAGGTTCTATATAAGAAGTTGAAGTTAATTTCACTTTCATTAAATTTTTTTTACACGGCCTTATTTAATCATGAAATATGTATACGGAGACTCTTATTATCCTAATTAATCATGAAAAAATGAAAATTTGTGAGGCTTTATGCTCTACGTCTTCAAAGATGGTTCTGTAATTCAGTGATGATTACATTCAAGTTAAGTGTTTTTGTTTTCCTCACAACTCACATGTTTTTGTTTTTAAAGACTTGCAGTTGTTTTCTAAAGTGGTTAGATTATCTTTATGTTCAGCAACATCAACAGTATTATATTTTAAATAAATTATAAAACTTTAAATTGAGGCAATGTGTTGAGCTTCATTGATAGTGATACTATTAGTAGTTGAGATCAAGGGTTGTTGTACTTGTTTCAATAATTTATTTAATGATGAGTCACATTTGCAATAATTTTTTTTCTCATGTTATTTTATTATTATTATTTTTACTTGATGATTTATAATTAATTTTATTCTATTTATAATATAAATTATTATGTTTATGAACAAATTAGAAAAATAAAATTATTATGGGTTTTTATTGAAAATATTTTTTCAGAATAACTTTTAAAGAAATCGAAATGACATTTATGAACTGTTATACTAATCATTCCTTGACCTTAGGTTTGTGTCTAGCTTCTTTTCTTTACTAAAAGTTAAAGAAAGAGAATTTCTTATAGAATCATATGAATTCCGCACCATGTAAAATTTAACATATGTTCTTTGACACATACATGATACAAACATATATTTTTAAATTTATAAATGTTTCATATATGATACAAATATATAAAATAGAACATCATTTATAGTGATAAATTTGTGAGTGTAAACTATTGATTAACTTAACTCATAGATCAAAAGTCGCCACCGCATTTTTATTTTATTCAAAAAGAAAGAAAAAAGAGCGAACAAAACCTAAACAAGTTCTAAAACAAGAACAAATGAACAAAGACTGGGTAAGGGAGTTGGTTATGTTAAGGGAAGATGTTAGTACCCAAAACATCTATAGTACTCTATAGGAATTGTCGCTACTGCGAAAATAAGGTGTCGGCAAAACAGAAGAGTCGCCACCTTTCGTTATTTATCCCATAGAAAGGGAAAGGAAACGATCGGAAAAACCTGACGGAAAGGTATAAGACAAGGTCATCGCAACCATGTCTGGGTTCGGGAGTCGATTACGCAAAGGGAAGGTATTAGTACCCCTCACGTCCATCGTACTCGATGGGATCCACGCTTGTTGTGTTTATCTGACGGGTTGGTTTAACTATCTACCTATCAAGGCTGGTCTGAAAAGAAAAGAAAAATGACTCGGCAAAGCATCGCGCTTCGTGCCTACGTATTCTCGTCAGAGAACGAGAAATCAGAGTCAACGTAGTTCGGTTAACTACGGGTAAAAGGATGGGGGAAGCTGGCTCGCTAATACGTCAGTATTGTGCCTACGTACTCTCTCAACAGATATGAGAGATCAGAGCTTACGTAGTTCGGGATACTACGGATTACGGGGATTAGATTAATCTGTTTTTCGAGTAGGGTTAACAAACAGTTCCAACAATTTGGTGTATGCAGCTCGCTCGTCAGAGACTCGTGCGTTACCGTTTGCGGTATAACTGAGAGTTAACGACACTCTTTTCTTCAGAAAAGTTTTCCTTAGTTAAGGGCCCACGGGGCAAAGAAGGTTTGAGGTTTGTTTTCTGTCTTTTATGGAAGAAGTGTTTTTTATGGTTGTTTGTAGTCCGTACAGCTCTAGAGACTATGACTTGGAAACGAAGGTGTCGCATATCGTCCAAAGGACGTATACTAAACATTCTATATGATTGAGAGGAGACCGCTCAATTATCATTTCCCAAGTGGCTTAAGGCTCGTAACGCGCTTGTACCAACTTGCCTTTATTACGTTTTTTACTGTTGTTTTAGAGAGAGAAGAGAACGAACTCTACGGGGAAACTGTCAAGTCCTAATGTTGTCATGCCACGGATTCATCCTATGGTTGAGGTTTGAGACAGGGAACTCCTAGATGTTATCATACAAAGGTTTCAACCTAAAGTTCTATCATCACTTCCTTATCAAAGGAAGTGAGACTCCTAAGGGATCATGTCAATGGGATACAGAAATAGACTGCAAGAATCATTAAAGCAGATAAAACAAAAGAGAAAACAGTAAAGATGCAAATGGAATGCAGCAATACAAGCAGAGGGAGACTCACTCAACCTCTAAGCAATCAAGCAAAGAAAACAATCAAAACAGACAAGCAAAGGGAGCTCAGCTCAACCTTTCAATGCAAACACACCAGATACAAAAAGAAAAACAACACATAAGCAAGGGGAGGATCACATCAACCCTTAATGCAAGCAAGCAGAGGGAGACCCACTCAACCTCTAAGCAGTCATGCTCCTAACCTATAATATTCTATATATGAACCTATTCTAATGCATCAAGCAATGTCAAACAAGGGATAGAAATAAAACCAAAATGAGCAACAGGGAAGTCATCCCATGCTACATCAGGTTGGATGTGTGTCAACACAAGAGTCCATCATGGGCTCAACCTCTTGAGGAATGCACAAAATCCAACCAAGGGAAGGATTAGGCTCTCCCAAGAGGGATCCTATGTCAATAGGACAGAAAAGACTGGGTGTTAGTCCTAGATATCAATCTAAGGTATCTGGTTAAAGTGTATCAACACAGAATGTCCATCTCAGGCTCAACCTGTTGAGGAATGCACAGAATCCAACCAAGGGAAGGATTAGGCTCTCCCAAGAGGGATCCTAAGAAAGGGACTTTGACATGGATGACAATATATAAACCAAGGGAATATACCATGCCAAGAATGTCAATCCAAGGCTCAACCTCCTGAGGAATGCACAGAATCCAACCAAGGGAAGGATTAGGCTCTCCCAAGAGGGCTCCTCATCAAGACTTGAAGGAGAAAGATAGTGCAAACCAAAGGAATTTACCATACTGATGAATGTCAATCCAAAGCTCAACCTCTTGAGGAATGCACAGAATGCAACCAAGGGAAGGATTAGGATCTCCCAAGAGGGATCCTCTTCAATACTTGGAGAAAGAGGATAGGGCAAAGCCCAGGGAAGAAATGACATAAGGGAAAGAAGGCATCACAACAACTTCTAAGAAACCCTAATGACTAGCTACAAGGATCACCTAAACTAGGGGGATTCAAAAGCTATATCAAGTCCTAATCAATGTTCTAATGAGGTATCTACCTAAGTTCTATTCTATCAAGAAGGGTTATGAAGCTTAGAGTTAACTAATGTTCACTTAAAAGACCAATCCATGAAGTAAGCCTAGTTAGGGTCACCTAAACCATAATCAACTTGGAAAATATGGGAATAATAGAATATCACCTCTATAAATGCTAAGGAAAATCCTAGATGATCCTAAATGGGTTAGGGAATCATAGGAGAAAATTCAGGATCAAAACCTAAATCTAAGGGGTCTAAACAATTCCTACATCTCAATGTGTACTAAAAGGAATCCATAAAGGGGGAAGTCCTAAAACCTATCTCAAACTCAAACTTAGAATCATCTAAAAAAATACAATAAAAATCACACAAACCTATCAAGGAGTCTATGACAAGCATGCAAAATTTTCAACACCAAATTCTAATCCAAGAAATAGTACTAAAATCAGCAAGTGAACTAGTCAAGTTATGCATTTTTAATCAACTATTAAAAATAGAAAAATGCCAAATAAATGGAAAATTATCCAAAAATGAAAAAAAATGCCATACAAAAATCAGAAACAAGGTAAGAATCATCCACAATTTTTCTCATATTTTTCTGATCAATAAAACTATTTTTTATGCATTTTATATGACAAAATGAATAAAAGAAATAAAGAAAACAATTAACTAAATCAGAAAAAAGCAAAAATAACGTGGCCACTGGATCATTAGACCAGTCAATGCATCCAAGGGAGGGGGGGAATGCCACACGTGCGCTAAAGGCATTAAGTGAAACGATTCGTTTTGCTTAAGGCACGGTGCATTGCAGTTGACTAGGGTTCACCCTACTCTCTAATCCTAACCACATGCCAAATTCATCTAATACGTGCATAAATTAAGAGGAATTTTGAGAAACAAAAACCTGTTCAGAAGCTCTAATTGAGGTGTTCTTGAGTGCTCAGCTTTGATTCAAATGCAGCAGATTTCTTCACTGAATGATCCTGAACCAATCTGAATGCTCAGTGCTTCTTGATTCTTCCTCAAACTCCAAATTCGATTCTTGCTTGAAAGCTCCACAACCCCAACTGTTTCTAACTGTCTTCCCTCCAAATGCCAGCCAACCTGATCTGAACTTCACCCAGGGTTTATATAGAGAAGGTTTGGATACTTTTTAGGCCCATTGGAAGCCCACACAACCCATTTTAGTTTTCTGGTTTTTCCTCCACATTCTTCCATGACAGTCGTGTATTTCTGCTTCTAGCAGCTTCCATTCTCATCCAAATAGCTTGCATAACACTCCTTGAGCATGGATGGATCAGATTGAATGCTTAATTTGATCCTATGGTGTAGATTGGTAGTGTTACTTCAATTCCAAGTAACCTTTGAAATGTCCATGAATTATGACTCAAACCAAAATTCTGAAGTTTCCAATCTTCTCCAAATTCCTTCTACCTTCAAAAAATGCACAAACTTGCCAAGTTTTGCACAAAAATGAATTGTTTTGGAATTTTCTCTTTTTTATGCCTTTTAATTATCTTCCATGAA